ATGTCTACGTGTATGCCCGAGCTGTTAGAATTTTGATTGTAGTACGATTTCGTGCCCATAAATGATACTAACCCAGTCTAACACAGGAGGATATTTCTGCAAGTCATCTCGGCTCTTTTTTCGAGGTACTGTACCAGAAAGCGAATAACCACGGTACCTGTCTGCTTGATCCCGCCGCACTGTCCCGAAACGGGGTTAGTATCATTTATGGGCACGAAATCGTACTACAATCAAAATTCTAACAGCTCGGGCATACACGTAGACATAGTGGAGGAGCATAAGCATAGTGACCAAACAAGAAGTGAATCCTGTAACTACAAGAAATAATAACGGTATTGCAAGAGCCAGCTGTGCTACCGAGTGCACTACTGTAAGGTAGATGCCCTTGCCTGTTTTTTTTCTCTGCCTCTATAAGCAAGGCCCTCTCTCGGATAGCGAGAGAGGAAGAAGGAGAGACAGACAGAATAGTGTTCGACATCCTGCAGGTGGAGTGGCTCGATCACACGAGCCCCCATCATTGCGAGATATCAATCCGGTCGAAGGGTTGACGAACATAAAATTCTCTTTATTTTTCCTACCTCACCTGCGTATTTCTGTGAAATACCACACTTGGGTCTATATTCGCATTCATTACGGTAGTAGTGAGTGAATTGAAATTCTTAGTCTGCTTCAAGAAAGCTTGCCCGTTGTCATGAGAGCCATACGTAGACACGTAGCACACGGATGACAGCGCAATTAGATCATCTTTATTCACCGCCGTCTAACTGATCCCTCCCATTCCCTTATAAGGTAGAGACACGATAGGCATCAGTAAACGGACGGCATCGATCTTGCACCACAGGTTTTGGACCAGAACAACGCCCCACTGCAAGACGATCCCAGGCATCTCGAAGATCGCCTTGGACGAGATCTGGAAGACGACACCACGGCACCACCAGCCACGTCGCTCCACTACATATCAGTCCGCATACTCGCGTTGAGGCACCTGGTAGAAAGAGAAATGGACATGGGCCAGGAGAGGGGGGCTGGCAAGAGGCTCACGATGGCGCCATATGTACCACGGAGCAGCGAGGCTGCCAAGAGCTCCGGACACCCCCGCAGAGCCATCCTTAATTTCCCGGCCAAGCTAAGCCTAATCCGCAAGAAATGGAGGCCACAACTCCCACGATCGAGACAAAAAGGCAGGACAAGCTAACCCTCGCTCTACCCAGCGAAGGGACCAACTAAGGAAAAAAAGAAGCGTCCGTACCAACCACGGAACGCACGTTGGCGCACCGACCCGCCCAACTACACGCCTCTGCCACAACACGGCATGACGGCCCCAAAGCCCGGAAGAAGGCAATGGACCACCACCATTGACCATAAGCGTACACGGACGCGCCGCACCCACCCGCAGCGCCACTACACAACCGGATAAGTCGCTACAGTAGAAGACGAGTACGACTACACTGCAGTATACCAGACCCTCGATGAGGACGAACCTGAAGGGGATGATCCACATCCCGACCGGTACGAATAGGCAGATCCGGATCCCTGCCATTGCCAACCCCGCACTGCGCTCCAACTTTCTCCCCGTACACGACATTGCCGCGCGATGGGGAGAAGTCAGGTTCACGCCCACCCAAGCGCTCATCCTCGACTCGAGCACGAGCGCACCGCAGACGGTTGTCCAAGCACAGTTCACCAAAGGCATGTACTACCTGCAATTGCCAAAGTTGAAAAGACAAAGCATGGCAAAACGGACTGGCAATCCGGGCAGTGCCCCATCACGGTCAACAAGAAATCCCCGAAAACAAAAATAGAAAGACGGCGGCCAAACCTAAACCCCACCGCACACCAACAATCGGACACGTGGCGCCGAAAGTGAAAAAAGGCCTGCATGTCATGCAGAACCCCGCACCGCAGCCACACACCCCGGCACACCCCGCAAGCGAAAAGGACTCTCACCACTACCATGTGATCTACAATCACATACGCCCCGCCACGCTTCAAAAAATGGCAAAGCTCGGCCTTTTGCCCAACCGCCCACCCACGTTAAGACAAGGACCCGCACGCATCACCTGCTCGAGCTGCGCAGCCGCGAAACAACAACCGGCCCCGCACTACCCAAGCACACACAGGTACCCAGTAGGAGCAGCGTTCAGCAGTGACATATGCGGACCGTTCAACCCGCCCTCACGCCAAGGAAACAAGTACATACTCACGATAATTGACACGAAATCAAGATACCTCATTGTCGACTTCTTGGAATCACGAGCTGAGACACCGCACCGATTGGACAAAATAATTACAGCACTCAAACAAAGGAATGGATGCAAGCCTAAGCTGTTACACAGGGACAACGCTAAAGAATATATATCCGAATATGCGAACAGAATGTATCGCTCACAAAATGTAATGCACAGCACTACAGTGCCGCACACACCCCAACAGAAGGGCATAGCAGAAAGGATCAACGGAACCCTGATGAATTCTGCAAGAGCAGCGCTGCACCACAGTGGTCTACCCAAAACTCACTGGGAAGACGCCGTCAGAGACGCAGCGTTCAAGTATAATAACATACTACACCACTCCACCAACTCCCTGCCATACACAACGTGGACCAACACCACTCCCAGAGTCCCCCAATTTCTCCTATTCGGGCAACTAGGGACAATCCCCGAACTGGCTAACAGGAAACAAATATCCAAACTCGCCCCAAGGGCCACCCCCGCGAGATACTTCCATGCGATAGATGAGCACCACATCATGGTACTCGAAACAAAAACCAACAAGCCTCGAAGAGTGCGCTGTGTCAACTTCCAACCCTACCACAGAGCCACTGACCCCGCAGCGTCATGCACACACGCGAGGAAGGCGTTTACACCACACCGCACACCCACACGTGTGACACGCACAACACCAGCCCCGGCTAGCACAACCCAAGCCAAAAAATATCCCGACGCAGCAGAGTGGGAAAGGCACACAACGAGGAATTGGAAAATCTAGACACAATGAACGTCGTACAGTGGACACCAGATGCCAACCTCCCCAAAAAAGGAAAACTCATACCTCTAAAATGGGATACCGATACAAGAGGAACAGCGCAGGAGAAATACCATCGAGAAAAGCGCGCTGCTCAGCACGCAGAAACAAGATGGTGCCACACAAGCACTTTGACCCTACCAAAACGACAACTTACATGGCGGATAAAACAACTGTAAGGACACTGTTCGGCATAGCAACAACACACCGCATGCACATAGAGCACATTGATATTAAGTCAGCATATTTACATGAGAAATTCGCACACAACGGCAGCGAAAAAGTGTACGTGAAAGAACCACCCCGTTTCAACGGCACATACAAGCACCCATGCCAAGGAGGCAAGTTGAACATGAACATCCATGGGACGCCCTCTGCAGGACATACCTACCTGACAGCAGTATTCTCCATACTACGCAAAAGCAAGTTCCAGCAAAGCGAAGCTGACCTCTGCCTTTGGTCAAAAAAATGGAAAGGACCTCATCATGGCCGCAGTAAGCATGGATGATTTTACTGTAGTCGCGTCAAAAGCAGAGCTCAAGGAGGAGTTCGCGAAAGCACTGGCCAAAGCGTACAACATCAAGCGTCTAGGAGAGCACAAAACATTCCTAGGATGGACTGTACAGAGAAGCACAAATGGAGACATCCATGTCTCCCAGCCCAATGCAATCAACTACATAGTTGAACAAGCAGACATGGCACAGTGCAATGGAAAGGAAACTCCGTACTGCGACGGAGTACTGCTTCAAAAGCCAACGGATACCGATGAGATTCAAATGGAAACCCTCAAAAAATACCAGCAACTAATTGGGGACCTCCGATATGTCGCCGACTCCACCCGGCCTGACATATATATTTCCTGACTAACCGAATCGGTGCCGCGGCCAACAAGCCTACACAGAGGCATTGGAGCGCGTTAATGCGACTGATCAGGTACCTAAAACGTACCCCCACGACAGGACTCACCTTCCGAGCTGGCACGTCCACCAGCAAAGAGTCGAATCAGGACCTCCTCGTCTCGTATGCAGACGCGGACTTTGCAGCGGACATAATGGACAGAAAGTCCATCTCAGGGACCCTAGACACCTACAACGGAACGCCGATCTGTTGGGGGTTCCTCAAGCAAAACATCACTGCTCTGTCCACCTGTGGGGCTGAGTACATAGCGGCAACAGCAGCCGCTCAACAAACAACATGGATCCGACGCATGCTCAAAGACATCCACATGCTGTCGACCAAGCCGACACCCCTGAGGATTGACAACCAGTCAGCAATCCACGTCGCGAACAGTACTGGACCGACAAAGCGGCGAAAATTCATAGATTTGCGTCACTACTATCTGACGCACCAGTCACAAAAGGGAACAATCACCCTCGCCCATGTCCCCACCGACGAGCAACTGGCGGACATCCTCACAAAACCCCTCCGGCGCCAAGCATACACGCGCCTCCTACCCAAGCTGCAACTCACAAGCCAGCAGACTGCTGACGCCAAGACAGCTGCGCCGTCGACAGGGGGAGTGTCATGAGAGCCATAAAAACAAGTGTCGACGCCGCACCAGCATGCCGCCGCAGTCATGAGAGCCATACGTGCACACGTAGCACACGCATGACAGCGCAATTAGATCATCTTTATTCACCGCCGTCTCACTGATCCCTCCCATTCCCTTATAAGGTAGAGACACGATAGGCATCAGTAAACGGACGGCATCGATCTTGCACCACACCCGTATTTGCCTTGTCGTAATTGCTTTTCATGCTTGAAATCATATTTAAATACTTCTATAACTCTGTACGATAGGCTCTCCACACAATCGAGGGAAAATCTTGACTTGCCTTCAAGCGACAGATTGAGACGCGTGAGCTCTCATCTCATCAAATACAGTATGTCTTCTCAGACGACTACGTGCCCGAGTGATTCTTGCATAAGTCCACATATGCTGGAATACATTTACCACTCCACATCTTATCTCCGGCTGCATTGCCGCCCGAACACCAGCACTACTTAAGAACACTGTCAGGGGCGAACGAGAGCCCGCTCGACAAACTGAGACGATGAAAGCTGTTGAATTGCTCCTCCTTTTCTTGACTTTGCTCCTTGTCAGTGGCGCCGAAATCCAGATCGATGAAGAACGCCTGAGAGATCTTCGAGCGCTCGTCGGTAATATGACCGAGGGACCCAATGGAAGTGCATACATTGCCCGCGCCATCAGGGTAGTGCGTGCTGATGGTTGCGATACGAGGGTTTGCTTTGCCTTTGATGGAAGTAGGCAAATGGGGCGCAGAGATTTTGAGACCCAACTGGATTTCTTGACCATTTTTAACTTTCATAGTTAGTCTGGATAGGCGAGCCCGTTTCATGGGTGTCCAGTATGGAAGTGGCGACAAGGTTGTCGCGAACATTGGAAGGAGAAATGCCAAATCTGAAGAGTTCGTGCTTGACCTTGAGAACGTGAGGTACTTACGCTCGCGAAGGTCAGTTATTGCCGGTGCTGTGGCTTATTGCTCGCAACGGTTGGCCACAGGCAGGAGCCCAGCCAAGATAGTCATCCTCGGTGACGGACGTAGCAGTTATAGGCTTCTCCGTGGCCCGTTGAACCCGGCTGCCCTCGCCGAGCGTTTTTGCAACCGAAGTCCTACAAACGATGTCTACGCGGTTGGAGTCGGCTTCTCTCACACGACACTCTTCAACGATATAACGGGGGGTCGCGCATCGGTTTTCAGGGTGACCGAATGGGCTCGTATATTGCACATTCTTCCTGATATTGTGGGAAGCATTTGTTCAGTGGAGCCGTAGTTGCGTCACTAGCTAGTGCCGTTTCGGCAAACCTCTGAAAAAATGTATTGCTTACATTACCACACTGCTTCTCTATCTAGACTTGGGTCGCAACTGGTTTTTATGGTAGTCCTGTAGTAAATTTCAGACGTGCCTGTTCCTCTAAAGATGATTAGAGTGCACAATTGACAGGCATAATCGTGCCGTATGAAAAGGTCCGGAACATGCACAGCTCTTCGCCCCGGAGAAGCACATCTGGCCTTCTTGTTTATGGTTCGCAAGTGGTTATGTGTCGTAATCATCGACGCATAGAGGGTATGCAAGGTATGTTTTGTACTCGAATAAATATGAAGGGACGACAGATCTCGAGAATACGAGAGCAGTATCACATGAACATGGAGAAAGCTATTTGAAAAATGTACATTTTGCTTTACGGAGGGCTTGATCACAGGCATATCGCAACTTTGGAAAGCAGCAACCAACGATTAGATTAAAGGTATACATCTGTGATACGAAGTGGAACGGTCTTGCATGTGAATATTCAATGTCTGGTGCTTACACGAGGCTTCTATGACATTGATCCGTCTAGAATGGTCGCAGTTGGGAGGCAGACGTATCGCCAGTCGAGAAGGAGGTAACACTCTCTTTAATTTCGAAAAGCTCGCCATTCGGGCCATGAGAGCAACAAATGACATCAGAGTAATATTTTCTAGTCTACGAATTCTTGATGTCAAAGGGCGTAAAGGTTGAGGACATAACATTAGAGCGCGACGCTGGCCATTGCTGCTGTCGCACTCAAATTAGATAAAATGCTGAGATGCACGAATACTGCGCAGTTCGGTATCATGTACAGCCATCCTCTGCATCCGCATCACTACAATACACGTAACGGAACAGCTGATGCAGCAATAATAACTTTGCGTCTGGTTTGTTCACGAAAAGAGCCATTGCTACTGTTCCTTGCAAGTGCAGCAGCCAAAATAAAAAAATACCCATTCAGTAATACCAGGGTGCAACCAAATTCTTTTCCATGCGCTGCTGTCTGTACCAAAGCATTGGGCCTTTGTGAGCTCTATTTCTGATTTCCATTCATTGACGAATACAATTCATTGCTACATACCTCGCCATTTCTCCGTGTGCTATACTGCAGTGTAGCATCATCATAAAAGAGCGCCCCAGTGACGTTAAAAAACGCAGAACCGAGCGGCTTGAAGTAGGAGGGGGCCAGAGACTTTGGTCCAGATGAGCGGGTAGATGCCCGGCTGTTCAACGTCCATGGGGTCAGTGGGTACGATCGCATTCTGTTGAGGGAGTCGCTACCCCGTCCGTGACATACTCCGGACACCGCTTCGTTTTCCCGTATCCAGAACAACTGTAGAGAAACACATGTGCTTGTCAGTCGTCAACACTCGTGTGTACTCACAACGGACACACGTGTGCGAGATGGGATACGTTGACACAGATAACACGTGTAGAAGCTCGTTGCTGATAATGTGGAAGAAGCAGACAGCATTTCAGAGAGCTGACAGAAAATAATGCAGACAGCGAGCGCAACTCTTAGAGATGCGGCGTTCTCATTACTGACAAATGTATGTACCCTACCGCTTTGTAGAGCGAGGAAAAGAAAAAGAAAGGGCACGTAATAAATCACCAACTGTGAGTATTCACGATATTCTTTGGCAAGAATTTGCTACCGCGTTCGTACGCGAGACCCCGTGCGCTTCTGCGCGAGACGACCATCCTTTGGATATTGTCACACACACTGGAAGAATACTTTTGTATCTTCCCCCCCTGGATTTCACAACACAACTGGGGTGGGTGACCAATGAAGGGACTCCATAAGGACAGCTTAAGGCACACAGCAGAAAATATGGAAATTAGCTGCTGTGAAGAATGGTTCTTCCTAACAGTTACGTCAATATAGATCTCGAGTGAGCAATCAGGACAGCCTTACTTTCTTGTTCTTTGCGGCCCCAAAGAACCCAACGTTCTCCCGACTGTCTGCGCGCGTGCCCAATCCCCCGAGAACTTCCCTAAACATTTGTCGTGGTGTACATGCATTTGTTGCTACCCATGCATAATCTCAAGATATTAGCCCTAGCCCCTCACAGAAAGAAGAAGAAGAATCTCAAGATCACTGAGATAAATCTGCATCTGCTTCTACCGTATATGACCGGTTGCAGAGTGTGAGTCGATCGCCTCACTGAATACCCTAGGTCCAATTTATATATATATAAATTGTATATATATATATATATAAACTCGCAGATAGACCATCAGGCTTCCTTCTCCCTCACGCCAAGCCTGTCCAAACACCACAAGAGGACTTACGAAAAAGCACAACTGCCGCTCAACAAGCTGAGACAATGAAAGCTCGTCAAATCCTCCCCCTTTTCCTCACTTTGCTCCTTATCACAAGGATCGAAGCTCAGAAAAACGAACGCTTTCGACAATACGTTAACGAATACGACACTCGCTGCTCTACCGGATGGACCTAGAAAAATTGCCGGTGCCATACGCGCGGATGGCCCTAGCACAAGCTGCGATGCGAAAATTTGCTTCGTCTTTGATGGGAGTAAACAACTGGGACGCAGAGATTTTCAGTTCCAGGTGGATTTCGTGACTATCGTTTCTACCTTTGTCGCTTTTAACAGGCGCGCCCGTTTCTCTGGTATTCAGTCTGGGCTTCGCAACGGGAAGGTTAGCAACCCCAAGGGCTCTACTCTAGGTTTCTTGCGTGCGCTTCAGAAAGTGAGATATTTGCGCTCGCAGAGATCTATTTAGGTGCTGGTATGAGTTATTGCATGCAAGACTTGAACAGGCGCGGGCGAAAACCGTCCAAGATGGTCATCCTTGGTGACAGACGCAGCTCTTTCGGTCGTCTCCGTGGCCCGCTGCGCCCGGCTGCCATCGCCGCGAAATTCCGCTCTCAATCGTCTACAAACAATATATATGCAGTTTCGGTCGGCTTCTCCGACAGTGATAACATCTTCGAAGACCTCGTCCAGGATGGTGAAGTGTTTCTCAAGGTACGCAAATGGGCTAATATATTGGATTTTTTTCGTGATTTAATGGGGAACATATGCTTGTGATGACCACTGAGAAAGGGGAGGTGCCGCTGGCCAACGACGTGAGGGAGGAATGACTGGGAGTCATATGAAGGAATCACTACAATGCTGATGGCAACCCTACTGGGGTGGTTATAATTAAATTCGTATTGTGTTTTAAATATAATTACCAGAGGCTGACTCTTGGAAGAATCTTGAAACCTGCGTTATTGCCTCAAATAAATATATTGGATATTCTTCGTGAGTTCTTTGAGAACATATGCTGATGGTAACCCTATTGCGGGTGGTTATAATTAAATTAGTATTGTGTTTTAACAGGGACTTTTTCTTGGGAGGGGCACCAATAGTGCACTAAATAAGTGACCAATAAATTTGCGCGCTTCAACTTTTAATGAATCGTCTTCACACAAGTGTTGCCATGCGTATGGTCGACTTGCACAGAGAATTGCAGGCGGAATGGGCAAAACGAAATTGGTCATTTGAGAAAGATCCTCATTTGAAGTGTTGGGGCTTCGCCCCAACACATACAGAAGACAGTGATAGAAACCATGAACTTAGACGAGTACATCCTTCGGAACGACTTCCCTGCAGAACAGGCTATGAAGAATAAGTTGCCTGCTTTGAACAGAAAGTGTTCAATGTGAAAGTGTTGTGAAAGCAGAGGCAAAGAAGCGAGATTGATCATGTGACTGATGCGGCGGAATTCAGGCCTGGTGTTGTCTTTAATGAGGATCTTGAGTAAAATTATATTTTTTGATTACTTTTATCGTGGTAGCAGACTCTGAAACGGGCAATATTGGTCGATCTATAGCTCTCTATGATGGTTATCGTCTGTGAAACTACTTTCATAGGGAGCACCGGTTGGCTCTCCTCTTTACAGTGGTGTGTAGAACTTTGATATACCAGCAACGCGCAATTTTAAGACG